TGGATATGTTCCCTCGTGAGTTAAGTAGCACCCGCCCTCCCTCTTCTTCAGAGGACGATTTTTTCACATTTTTGCAAAATCGATAGAGCTTGTTATAAGCCAAAAATCCCTGGAAAATCTCAGATTTTTGAGCTTTCTCCAAAATAAAAACTGTTTTTAATTAGGTAAAAGTGAATTCTGTCGAGTATGCCTGTTTACAAGTTTAAATGATAACAGCGAATATTTTTAATTGCAATATTTCCGAAAGCCCTCTGCTCAAAAACCCTACTATAAAATCCTCACGGATTTTCCAGATTATAGAAAATCGAATTTCCAATAATGTGGAAAATCGACATCGATTTTCTACATTGTTGGGAACCATTTATAGGAAACCCTCAGTGAATTTCCAGATGATGAGGAAGAACAATTTGAGTGAGAATGCTGATAATCAGAGACTTGCAAAGTGAAAATGGCTGAAGATAAACTTTTTCACCATTATTAAAAGCTATTGAACTTCGAAGTTGAGTGGGATGTATTATTTCAGCTTATTGGATAACAATATGGATCGTTTACTAATGAAAACCAAATTTGACATTGATCACGTGTTGCACGACTGTTATTATATTTAAAAAATAATAAAATAAATGTGAATTGTTAGGATTATGTCTTTGAGTTAATAGAGCCAAGTACATGTTTGGAAGATACTAAGTTCAGACATAAAAATGAGGATTATTAGCAAGAGCGAATCTCTTTGCGATCATCATAAAGTTGCGGTGGAACTCGACTTTGTCTTAACCAGGTAATCCAAGAACCTTCTCAGTACCTCTTTGTGATCTCCAAGTGTCATACAGCAACAATACTTCTCGAAGAATATGCTGATTTGCAAAAACTGAGAGAACTTTCCGAATCTACTAACGTTTCGATATTAAATACTAAAAGGAGTACAAATCTGTTACAGGACAATTTGTTGCAATGTATAGGCTTTAATAGATGTGAAAGAAGCACGAAAAAAACACCGATTCGTCTTCTTAGAAAATCGAATTCGATTTTCCATTCCATTTTTCTATTTAGAAAACCGCTGTCGAATTTCAAGAATATTGGGATTTATTCGATTTTGATTTTCTAGAATCTGGAAAATTGAGTCGATTTTCTACAATGTTGAAAATTATTCATAGAAAATCGCTGCCGATTTTTCAACCTTTTAGAAATTCCTTATCGATTCTGGCAAATGTGAAAAGTCAATCTATAGAAAATAATTTCAAATGACAGTGTATCTCGAAAGAAAAAGCGTAAACGTAGATACCAACTTGATGATGTGTATCGGGAAAAAACCAACAGTGGTAACAATAGACGAAAGAAAACACGGTATTTGCAAAATCCTACTTTTCGTAAAGCATGCATAAACGCTTCCTTGGATGAGTATCATCCGAATCCACAGGTACGTTTGAAAACAAGAACAGCAACTACAGCTCATAAAAAGGGTTTATATCATAGTGTTTCTAGATATCGAGTGTTTCTAGATATCATAATAATTCTTCGGTTAAAAAAAAGCAGAAATGTAGAAATGTTAATAAGAAAAATACGTGAGACAGAAGAAAAGACTGCAGGCAATTCCGTTCTATGTCAAACAGTATGAGAAGTTCCAAACTATTTCAAAGGAAGGACCAGATTTTGTGTGTTGTGTCTGTAGTAGAATGATGTTTGAGAATCAGTTGTTACTGCGTGATAAATCAGTTTATTTTACTGTTTACGAAGACACCAGTTGCGAGCATAGTAGAATACATGTTGCTGTTTCTCATTCATTGTTCTCAGTAAATTCAAACATTGTCCTGAACAATAACTTGTTTGATGTGATCTAAATTCGTTGAAGGTTTCACAACTTTATTCGGAAACATGGTATTAAGATCAGCATTTTCCTCATTTCTTGATTCGCATAATTGTTCAACCACACGATGTTTTCTATGTACCATTAACGCCCATTCTTCAATTTCACTCGCCTCTGCTACTTTTCGAAGTGTATCTTCCATTGCGTCTAAGTCTGCATTGTATATCTCATACTTTGCCGTATTCTCATCAACAGCAGGTTTAACTCTTTCAATTGTATTGTGAGCAACATCCAGAAAAACCCAAATTTCATAGAATTGCTGATACGAACCTCCCGTTTTTAAATCTTCTAGTGAATCAATTGATAAAAGCAATATTAATATATTCTCGTAATGATCTCCCGGCTGCCTCTCCTTACTAAATCGCATAAACCGTATTATTGCAATAAAGTTACAAACTAATCTAAAATGGCAACTAGATAATTGAGTAGATTAAACATTTCTCTACAAAATGAAAAGTATCTCGGCTCTAAACATTGATTCTTTATGAAAATACAGCTGTTGTACAAACAGCCCCAAAAATCGATTTTTGGGTTATCTGAAAAGCGTGTCTAAAAGAGTGAAGACGAGCTGGTAAACATTGAATAAGTATACCACTTAGTAGAAAATTGTTTGCTCTACAAGATGTGATAGTTTGTCAAGTTGGAAACTATTCTAATTAATCTGTATTAATCAAAGAAAAACCGTGACGCCGTGACACTTTTGACCGTTTTTTGTCACGTTCAAAACATCTTCTTTCGAGCCTTCTGATTAATGACTGGACTAGCCACAAAGTCTCAAAAGAGGACATTTACTAATTCGGCCTCGCAACTCACTGCTCCCGTTTAAAACTTTACGGTAGCCCTTCTGACTTACGAGAAAATCATTACAGAAAATGACAGTTTTGTATCGTAGAAAGTAAACAAGTAGTTTATTACTAGAATGCGGTCTATGCTTCGCACCGCATTAATAAATCAGTGTAAACGAACAACATTTTACGAATGAACAAAAAGAGAAAACTATCGAAACATCAATTGTAAAAAGATTCTCCCAGTATTGTTTATGTCTCTACAAATCTGCAGATCATGACAAGTGCTGAAACATTTTAAAATGTTGAGTTCGGCTCACCAAATAAATGAAGATGTTCGAGTATCTTTATTCAAAATATATAGACCGTACCAAGCAGAAAAAAGAATGATAGATTTGCACTCTAGTAGTGGATTTATCCATACAACCTAAGGTATTTACGAACTGCTGAAGATGAGTTATGTGATTTAAGCTATTTTCTGCTACATCTATTTATTTTATCGGATGTTCCACAATGTTTACAACATTCTTTATTTTGCACATATCTCAATCCAGAAATATGATAAAATTTTAATTTCTTTTTCAGAAGACGTGCCGTCTAATTTTCTACAAAAAATATATTGAGCATTTTTTTGAATAACTTAGAAATAAGAGACTATGGAGGAAACACTACGAATATGCAATATCGAGTACGTCCTAGTCCAAAAGACACTGGGAAACAAATTTATTTTGAGCAAGTCACCATACATCAAAGTGGAATAAAATATATTTTCTGATGCACGTAAGTGTCGTCTTTCTTTTCGTATATCACAGGTTCGCTTTAAACGTGGTTTTCTTGCACAAAAAGCGCTGTTACCAAAACTCATCCTAAAAATGAGAAAATTTGACTTTTTCGTCTTAGTACAGTAGACGTAACGGAGCTATAGAACTTTTTCCGTTCGGATGTAAAAGAGTTTTCCTTTAAAATAAAACAAATCCAATCTTAGCATGATGTTTTCTGGCAAATAGAAAACAACGTTTGCTCCCAACCGCTTGTAATAACAAACATTTAAAATCTTGCTAGTCAATACAGTTTTTCGAGTACTACAAAATAGCTGTCTTCTCTGTTTGTATATCACAAAAGGGAAGGAACTAAATCGAAAAACAATAGACAATTTCTCACCAGAATATATGGAAATCATAAAAAGATTTGAAGAATTATTCATAATCATATGAAATCCTGGAAACATTTCGAAAGGTGTCGCTTTGATTTTTGTGAAATATTGCCACAAGACATGAAATCTTGTTTGTAAACGATCAGAAAGTAAGTATTTTTGCAATATATTGTGGCACTTATTTCATCTAGCCACGCTACTATTCACGGTTTTAAATATCAAAATCGGATACTTTATCGGAACTTATTCATCTAGTTTTCATACAGAAAAACTACAAAGGAATGTAGTTTTTCGAATTCTTCGTATTCAGTTTAAGTTATTGTCATGTATACCGGAAAAACGAAGACATTTCCCTTTTCTTACATACCACGGTCAAGGGAGAATACGAGATTAGCATATCAGTTCATTTATGAATACCTCTACTCATAAAATGATATCGAGTAAATCGACATGAGTTTTGTAATAGGCGTACAAAGTGACATGAGCATTCAAATACCAGAAAAACATAATAAATCCTGTCGTCTAACTTAGGGCTATATTCCACTGTCACAGTATTTCTTATGATATCTTATGTGTTAGTGCATATAATAGTCAATATATAAACAATAACCGTTTTGTCGCCGGTGATCGACATTTTCCTATGATTAGTGACATCTATTCATCAGTCTTTTGTCCAATATAGTGTTATTATTTACTATAAAACTTCCGTAGTTCGCGATATATAAAATTAATAATACAGACAAGTATGTTCTCAAGAATAAAATCCTCTATGGGTAGTTAAGTGATTTGGATTTACGTTTGTCATCATGGCGAAACGGCTTATATTAAAATTTCATGGTTTGAGATATGGCAGACAAAAACTAAGCGCAAGATAGAGCATTTTTGTCATTTGTTACGTTGATTACGGAGCTTTGCCCTGAACTTTTGTGTTAACATCTCTCTGTTTGTTTTATAGATATATCACCATGCAGATATACTATATGATCTAATCGATTACAACAAATTATCGCTTTTCTCAAAGGTCTCAAGTTTACCATATGAGAAAAACTTCGTATTTCCCTTTCTGTTTCATAGTATTTTGTCTATGTTTTGCAAAATAATAACATTTGATTCGAGTTTCTACGTAGTTGTTTCCTCATTTTACACTAAAGATGGTTAAAGTGTATTTTATCCCACTTTTAGATAACACTGAGGTAAAATGTCTCGTGCAATTCCTCCTTCTTCAAGAAATGCACCAGGTAAGTAAGTCTTTTACAGTAACTTTGTATTTGAGACTAAATGGTTATTTCACTCTTCGTCCTTAGGTACTGCTAGCGGACGACCAACTGGGACAGCAACGCGTCTAACAACAGCCGCAGGTGTAAGTAAATTTGTTCTAAATTCAACAGAGACGTCTTCCATGCTTTTTTTCGTACATGTAATAACTTGCTTGCTATTTTTTTTGTTTTAGCAACGTCCCGTGAGTCGTGGTGGTCCCGGTTCGACTATGCGTATCAAGGTTGAAGATACACCAATGACGCGGGGAGGATTAGGTGGTATACAAGCAAATGCGAGTTTAGCAGGTCGTCAAGTTATGGATAGAACATATTATGTCGGTTTAGTGAGGTAAGAAAAACTCAAAATTTACGGAAAAAAGAACTAAACGGATGATTGTACTTTTTAAGGTCTAAAGTTAACGAACTTGAAACAGAAACAAATCGTCTACAAAAAGACACTGATTCATTTACAGAAGATAATAAGCAATATTCTGCCTTGAGTAAAGCGTACGTCAGTAGAATGTAGAGTTTACAATAACTGCTTCATGTCAACTGCATTTGTATAGGGCTGAAGAATTATCACAACAAATCGAAAGTCTACGTAATGAATTGGGCGATTATAATATGGTATATGTACCACTTCGCTTTTCACAAAAATGTATTATACTAAACTCTTTTATGTAGATTATTGATCGTTTGCAAACGTCAGGCGAAGTGGCTGAACTGAAAAAAGAACTGTAAGTTAAAAGATGATTTTGCGGTATAATATCTTACATCTCTCTTCTCTTGTTTAGAATGGATTTGACGTCTCATAATCATCAAGTTGAACTTGGTATTGACGAAATTTATGTCGAAAAACGAAGGTAAGAAGAAATATACTTGTGTGTATATGTTCTGTAATTCTAGTATATTGACTTATTATTAGAAAAGAAGACCAATTACATCGTTTGGAACGTGACTTAGCAGATGAGAAAAAGAAGTCCGAAAAATTGTTAGCAAATATGGTCTGTAGTTATAGGCAATGTAAAACACCCTGTGAACGGCTCTATTTGTTTGTATAGAATCCCGAATTGAAACAACGTTATTCAAAAATTAAATCCTACTCTGATAAATTACAACAGCAAATGGATGCAATGCAAAATGAAATTAGTACACTGGAAGGTCAAATGAATACAATGAGAGAAGTATGAAGATACATAGAATTGTTTCATTTCATTAAGTATTATAATATGCTTAAAACATTACAGACACTTATTGAATTACTTAAGCAGCGTAGCGTCGGTAATGTGGAGAGCTTAAATAAAGGGATTTTTGTTCGTATGTCTCTTGTTTATATCTATTTTTGTCATGTTCAGTTGTAAGTCTTATAGTCTTTGAGCTTGCGTTAGAAGAAAGTACAGTTACAATTATTTAGTTTGAGGTAATACCTATCTCGATTCCATTTAGATCTAAGTATCCATAAACATTCCACTAACATTCAAACTGATCTAATAGTTTGATTTTGCTTATTTTTTTACAGCAAATGTCCGGTTCAGTAATCAAACAAGACGCTTTATCGTTAGTTGAACAATTACATGAACTGGAGACAAAACGTGAACAATTACAAGAAGAAAGTAAAAATTCTATGACACCTGATCAAGAACAACAAAAACTAACACAACAAGTTAGAGAAGAAAATCAAGAAATTGCCTCGATGGAACGACAAATCAAAGAATTAAAAGAACGTAATGAAAGTTTAAAACGTGAATATCAGGAGTTGGATAATGATCGTCAACAATCAATAACCACCACTAAAGCGTCAGCAAAAGATCAACAACCAGTTGATGATGATACAACGCAAAAATATTTTGAATTAAAAAAAAAAGAACAACAAATTGATGAATTTATAGAGAGTTATGCTGAAACAAAAGAACAAAATTTATCACAATTAAAATCTGTTCAAAAATCAAATTTAAATCTTGTACAAATATTAAGTCGTGGTTTGATGAAAGGACAAAATTTACCATCAAAGGATGAATACTCAGAATTAAAGTCTAATTTAGAGAATAAAGAATCGGAAAAGAAAAAATCAAATGATACAAATATTATATTAAAAGAACAACACCGAAAATTAAAGCAAGATTATGATAAATTAGAAACATTAGATCAACGTTTAAATGATGAACGAGAAGAATTAAAAACAAAATGGATAAAAATGCAAGAAGATTTGGAGAAATTTAGTGATTTAGAGGGTTTGAAGAAAAATGCTGAAAAACGAAAACTAGTAAGAAATAATTGTGTGTCTGATAAACTATATCACGGTTATGTCTACTGCTTTTTTTAGCGATTAGCTGCAGATAAAATCAATATGGCAAAACAACGTCAAGCTACAAAGCTAGCAATTCAAATGCTTCATTCTCAATATGAAGCAATTCAAGGACAAGTGCACGATAATGATACTCATCAACAAGTAAGAAGATCTTGTTCATCATATATTCAAGCTCACGTTTTCTGTTATTGTTTTTTTTTTAATAGCTTGTTGGATTAGAAAAAACGTTACAAACGTTGGGACAATCTGTTTTCACTGCAGAAGAGACACTATCATCTCAAAATGCTCAAGGACAATATGAACAAATAAAACGACAAGCACTTGATCTTGTACAATTACATAATCGTTGGTTAACGGAAAAATTTGCAAATTCACCAGTTGCTTAGTTTCATCTACGTTGTTTATTTCCTTTTTTCACGGTTGTAAATAACATTAATTCGCTGTGTCTAGATATGTGTTGTATTTATATTTAGAACTCTACCTCTCTCTCTCTCGTTCTCTTTCTCCTGTTAGCTTTCAAATAAAAAAGAATGATATTAATTATTATTGGTGTTAGAACAAAAAAAACCGAAATTATATAAATAAAGCAGAGACACAAACACACTAACATATTAGATAACATATAAAAAAAGAAGTAACAAACAAAAAAAGAAACAGATTTTGATTGTTTGACATACAGACACACACGCTAACTGTATATCATACACAGAGACAAAACTCAAAAAATTTCTTTTACAAAGAAATACAAGCAAAATACAAAAAAGAAAGCACTAGTTTTGCCAGCCCATTTTTAACTTGATACGTATAAGAAAACTAATTAACCAATTTGCTATTATTGAAAAGAATCAATAGACAATCTGGCATAATGCTTCCTACTTTCGTAATGAGACAACAAGGCAAATAAAAAATAAAGCGATATTAATTACATGCAAACAGATGATACATATATGGAACAAGTGATTATAAGGTCCAGTAATAAGAATGCGCGGTAACCGGTAATGTACCGTCAGTAACGGTAAGATGAATTTAACAAAAAACGGGATTACCACAGTAACAGTTTTAAACGTTTTTACCAAGAGTCTAGTAAATATTCTTTACTAAATTTTTCTTCAGTAAAGTATTTTTTATCGAACTTATTTCTGATACTTTGCTGTTATTTCTTTATTCTGTTCTAATTCTGATCATTGTTAATTGCAATCGGATCGCAGATCATATTTTCACTCTAATGAAAATTTTGACTGTTGAGTTCATTATGATGGTTGTTTTTTGATACAAGTTGTCGAGATTACACTATCAACCTTATTCACTTTTCTTTTGCTAGTCAGATTGACTATAATATACGATCCTTTGAGAAATAAACAACGCTTATTGAAACAAGACAATGGTAAAAAAGAATTTACCAGAAAAATTAACAGTAATAGCTTTTTTACCGTGACAATAAAGCGGTAACAGTAAAAGATTTTTTATCGTATCAAATTTACCGGTTACCACACATTCTTAATAATAAGGCTAATGAAATGAGTCTACCAGATTTTTACGTGACAAAAAACAGGAAATTGTAAAATTCAACTACTATATTATATTAAAACATAAAAAAGGAACGGCTTCAGTTAGCGATAAATATAAAACATGTCTCAAGAAATGGACAGTGCATGATCTCATTGAACGTTTCCTAGGTATGAGGCGTATGAAACATTTTCAATGAGCACGTGCAAGGTAAAAGATTACTATATATACAATATTGTTTATTTCAATGCTAAACGTTTTAAATTTGTACGTGTTTTATTTGAAAATATGGGTGATATTGGTTGTCGTTTTTTTAATGGTGACATAATTGGACCAGTTTTTATTTTACACGGACTCAATGGATGATAGGGTCCGGAACAACGATAACAAAAATTATTTTGACACGTTGGATTTGAACAAATACCATGTTGATCATTAACATCTACAACAGATATATAAGAACAAATCGGACAACGTTTTGGAATTGTTGGACCATGAAGATATTTCAAATACTCATAGCGATATGTTTTTCGTTTTTTTGTTGACGGAGGAGAAAATAATAACCTTTGAAATGGTCGATTATCAATCTCTAATGGATGAACATTTTGATCATCATTGGTATTTACCGATGGTATACGAGATGAGGACGAGTTTTGTACTGGAGTTGAAGAATAAGACATATTTGTTAGGGGATGTAATGGATGATGTTGTGAAACACGTGTTGCTGTATTATTGATAGAAATTGGTGTGGGTATAAACAGACAATGAAGATGATGCTGTGATAATTGCGATCGACATTGTCGTTTTAACGGTGTTTGTTGTGATAATATTTCATAAACAGTATTTCTCTCACTTGAAAATAAATTTCGTTTAACATTTTTAAACTGTTTATGTTCATTTTGTTCGAAATAATATTTACCAAGGATATTATACCAATTGCGTGAAACGTATGAACAGTGTTCAATATCATTCGCAGATAAATAACTTAAAATTTTATTAATAAGATGAAATACACTGTGTTGAGATAAACGAGTAAATATATCAATATACTTTTTTGTTTTTAAATATATCTCATAATCTTCATAGGATGAAAAATATGCACTGTTTAATGATGTGTCTTCTTTAATTTCTTGTTCATAATCGATAAGAACAATATCAGTTGGCTGTTGTGGAAGTAATACTGAATGATTGGGAGAGCAACACTGCGACGATGATAATGAGAAGGAAAAAAATGTCAAATAGCCAGAGTCCATCGTATGTTCGGCAACATCATGCTGATAACAATTATTTTTATCGATGTGCTGTAATAAAACATTATCAAAATAATCAGGCAGTTCACTCGAATCATCACCATTAACGCTCATTATCATGCTCTGATCAGAAGAAACAATAATAAAGAAAAAGTACAGGGAAGGGATAAAAAAACTCTAAAACGAAATAAAAAATCAATAAAAAAATTCTTTGGTTTTAAATTCATCGGTTTTTTAAAGAAAAAACTTCGTTGTATCTATGATCGATGTCCGATATACATAAAAACGCATTTAATCTCAAGACTCGCTGTGATGTACCGGATTTTCATAAGAGCAGGTTTCTAGAGAAAAAAATGACGTCATGTCCAGTATTAAAATATTTAAACGAGTTGAAACTTATTCTGTTGTTGTTTTTTCATCTGTTTTGAGAACATTAATAACTATTCTTGTTTTTGTGAGAGAAAAAGTGGGGTATGAGAAAGTGCGCACCCTTCGAATAACTGAAGATTTTTTCGTTTTTTTCGGTGGATGATTATTAAAAAATTTGTTTTTTCATAGTGTCTGTACGAATTCTACTCCAGATACTATCTTCTTTTGCCCAGGAGACATAATCAGTCTCACACGTCCCCTAATGTTCGACTCCTATGTGTTTATCTGAGAATCTTCTTTTTTCTGGTCACTGACTGGAATAATCTTCCACTGTTAGTAATTTTCTCCTTCTCGTCTTTCAAAAGAACATTATATCACCCTATTTTCAACAGTTAGTCTTTTAACCATCTCAAAATCGTTCATGTCTTAGTTGTTTACTTTTCGGTATTTTTTATCTCCTGTCTTATTATGTGTTCTTTTTCTTCTAATATACTTTGCATTTTTTTTAAATTTTATATATATTTGTTCCTGTGTATGCCTAGTCTGAACGGGAACCATCGTTTTATAGCAGTGGTAGATCCAGAAATTTTCGACAGTACGAGTGATTTTTTAACAAGCCTTTCAAGGTAGTATTAAATTGACTTTTTTTTGTGAGAGTGCGTATTATTTCGCGCCTGAACACAAGTTTTAAGAAATATACATCCTGAAGTTATTTCTCAAAGCAAGATCGTTCATACATATCAAAAAGGTACGAGCAGATGCTCGTACCGCCTGTAGGATGTACGCCGTCACTGTTTTGTAGATAAATACTCCTTCGACCACCTTTCATCCAACGGTGATTTACATAAATCATATCGTATCAACCAAGGAAATTTGAATAGAGATAGTTTTCAAAGCAGTCGGGGGATGTTTCATAAAAATCCTTAGGTGCTCGACTTAATTAAGTCTAGACTTAAGTCTTCGTTTTGTACACTTACGTGTTAATTTTATACACTTAGGTCTAGACTCAGTTAAGTCGAGCACTAAGAATTTTTATGAAACACGAAACAGGTTCGTAACTCAGAAACACTCAACCTGTGCTTTCAATACAACTTTATAAAAAATGCAAAGAGAGAATAGAAAAAGCTAACATTCTCCTTCACGTGTAAATAAGCTTTTTGTTTGTCGGTCGCCACATAAATAGCTGGTCTAACAAACTACTTGCTCAAGATCTTTGTAACCGGTGAAAACTTGTCTAAAAAATCAAGAAGACCTTGCAATAGAGAGGCAAATCGATACCAATTTCATAGTATAAGTTCCCTTCGCGCTGAGACAATGACCGCTAGTCGTCTGGTGACTCCTACCCAGTCATATGAGAAGATGTACATAATGGCGCTAGATGGAGAAATAAAAGAGAATATTACGTTAAATTCAATATTAAAGCTTAGGATAAGATACTTTTACACTTAACTTTATTGTTGAACTACTTAATAAGATTGTAATTTTGAAACAACAGAACGGCATCTATGAGATCCTGATTGCTCGAAATTTTTTAAATAAAACCAAAATTTATACTCTGAAGATAAACCACAAGGTAACGCTCGTCTGCATTCGCTCGGTCCATTGACTTTAGGAACTTATATCTGCGAATGCCCTTCCATCACTTTGAAATCCAAGACGGGCAAATCCATCTGGAGTGTTCCATATTTCCAAAAGCTTTTCCGCTTCATTTAAAATCAATCTCGTTTTATAGAGCTCACCAACTTACATAAGAAACTGTCTTTTCTAACTTCATAGCTGATGCAGAACGCGAGAAAAATGACTTTTACTCTCCCAGCAAAATTATCGGATTCGGCGCCACTCTCAGTGCGAATTGATCAACACCTCGATGAATTTTACAATATGTTCTCCCTTTTTCGATAACGTTGTTCTCTATCGAACTACGCTAGAGTCAACTTTTCATATCTAAAAATGAAGTTTTTATTGACATTTTAAAAATAGGGCAAAAAACCCGAAAAAATCTTAAAAATTTATAAAAAAAACTATAAATTCGGGAACCGAAAGCTTTGTTGTGACATATACTTCGAGGTGTTCTCTACAAACCGGTGGGAAAAAACGGGTGGGGGGATCCCCCCATTAACCGATAACTTTTCAAAAATCATTTCGGACTCTTCAAGGAGCAGGTATTGTTCGGGAGCAAATGTCGCCAGGGAAGCGATTGTCGCAAGGAAGCAGTCGTCAGGGAAGCAAATGTCTTTGGGGAGCAAGTGTCGCGGGGGTCACTGTCAGAACAGCAACTGCCAGGGGAGCAACTGTCGTGTTACCATTTTAGTTAGTTTAGTTATAAACAATAGCATTTCTAAGAACGACATAAATAGGGTGGCTTTCTTGTAATTAAGAATGTGCGGTAACCGGTAATTTACCGTCGGTAACGGTAAGATGAATTTACCGAAAAACGAGATTACCGCGATAACGGTAAAAAACTTTTTACCGAAGATCCGGTAAATACTTTTTACCGAATTTTTCACCGGTAAAGTTTTTTTTACCGAACTTCGAACTTATGTCTTTTATTTTGTTTTTATTTCTTTATTCCCTTCTAATTCTGACCATGCGATGATATAAATTCAGGCATTCTGCGTTTAGGTGAGGGTGAGAGTGAGCGTTTAGTATATCTGGACAATTAATGCAGAATCGTGTTAATCTCAAAGCTAATGGGTTTAGCTATAGTACGTTTCTGAAAGACAAACTTTAATAATAGACGATATTTTAGAATAGAAAAAGAACATGTAACGTCGAAATTTGAACTATTGATCATGACTCAGATTACTTTTACTCATTTATCTGAAGAACATTTAGAAACACAAACATTAGAGTCATTCAAATATAGGTATGCACCGGTATCAGTATACCGAATACCGAAAATACCGAACTTCGGTATATACCGATACCGAAAATACCAACTTTTTTTGACTTGGAATTTTTTGGAGTTTTTCATTTGAAATGAGGTATTTTAGCATCCTGGACAAGCAGAACGTATAAACAACACTCAGCTGTGTATTTTGAGCAGATAGAAAAAAAAGAAAAACTTTGGCTTTAGAAAGCAAACAATGCTGTTGTTTTCCGTCCCTGATTCATTTTGGGTGTCCAGGACGCTAAAACATCTCATTTCAAATGAAAAAATCCAAAAAATTCCAAGTGAAAAAAGTCGGTATTTTCGGTATCGGTATTTCGGTATGAATACCGATACCGGTGCATACCTATTCAAATATGATATAGGCAGTTTTTTAGATATATTTGATCTTCATATAATATACGGTCCTTTCTGAAGCAAACAACATTTATTGAAACGAGACAACGGTAAAAAAAATTTACCGGAAACGGTAATAGTTTTTTTACCGAGACAAAAAATTATAGTTTTTATTTATAGTTTTTTTACCGAAAAAAAAGTAATTATATTAATATTATTCTGAAAATGTGTCACTTTTAAAATTTTCAACTCCTGATAACTCTGGAGCCAGACGAACTGAGGGACAGTTACAAAAAAATATCAACTAATGAACAGACATATTCAATTAAATCCTGAATAAGGGTAGATTAGAATCAAAAACGCATACACTATAATCTTGAAAATTATTTATAGAAAATCGCCGTTGATTTTCAGAAAGTCCATATATGAAATCGCCAAGGATTTTCTGTTTTATAGAAAACCGAATTCCCAAAAATCTAGAAAATCCTTCTTGATTTTCAAGATTCTTAGGAATTATTTATAGAAAATCAATACAATACAATAATAATACTGTTCACTGGAGACATTCTTTACATTGAACTATGTTCTTAGATCTAAAAGACCGATACCATTGAAGAAAAATGCGCAGTCTTAGAATCTAAAATGAGAAGAAAACACATGAGCCATATTTAATTAAGACACAAAGGAGAATATATAACCTAAAAAAGTTAGTAAAGAATATCATTTCTCTGAGTTTCACACGACTGTTCTACACAATTGAAAGAAAAACACAACAATTCAACTTCGATTTATTTATTTTTCTCATGAAAGAAAATAGAATTGGTTTTATAGTAAACGAAAGGATTCTTTCAAACGATGACAGGCAAATATATCTTTTGTAGCTTTGTCAAGAGCGTGTTTTCATTTTGTTAAAAGAAAGGCAAGCCCAAAACTCTCGGTTCCGAAAAAAAGCAATCATCTAAGAAACCACGGTTCCGGTTCCATTGTCAGAACCGGTAGTGCGGTTCCGATTCCTGATGAAGAACCGAAAATAAGAGAATCGCAGTTACGGTTCTTAATGAGAACCGAGAATCCACTTTTTAAGCGTCTAGTACAACCTTCTAACCCTTAGCTTTCTAGACGCCAAGTAACACGACCTATCAATTAGTAACTGTGACGGTAAATCCTAAGCTTAGGTTTTCCGCTGAAGAAATAGAAACTCACTTGAAAAATGACAATTGTGAACGTCGTTCAACGAATAATAAATCAACTATTTTTATATGACGGACGTTGAAAATTGATTTTTAACACACGCTAAGAATGGGATTCAATTTATTCTTCTACGACCACCAATGACTAACTTAAATAAACAAATAATCATAGAACAGAGCATTACTTCCGTTCAGATGTTACGATACCGTAACAGGATAGGATTTACCGTCACAGTTACTAATTGATAAGTCGTGTTACTTGACGTCTAGAAAGCTAAGGACTAGAAGGTTGTGCTAGACGCTTAAAAAGTGGCTAACAGAAAATATGCGTTGTAATAACGTTCTCATTAAAAACGCTGATCTTCATTTATTTGACTTTTTGTTGGTGAAAAGAAGAGAGTAGTTGATGGTGAACAAACCGGTAGGTCAACGTCGTTCATATTTATAATAAAGATTTATTTTCTCGTTAACCACTCCACTTCATATATCATTCGATAGAGAAATTCACGGGTGTCAAAATGATGTATAAGATACTCTTACGAAAATGTAACTGTGTAGTCTATGCTTCGAAATACTCGGTGGCATCTCAGCAAAAATATACCCACATGGGTTAATAGTTGAAATACTTGACCAATTTCCACCTATTCTAGTGCTTTGAACACTCTGTTAGTCGTTTTTCTGCCATAATGAAAAATTATGTATTTTTCGAAAACATACCATTGGATAGCCCTTGAAAGCCTCTATAAACCAAGCTGGTCACAATATCCAGACAGGTATAAAGATATGGAAAAGAAGCTTTTAGGTGTTATCTAAACAGTACAGTGTGTCATAATCAGAAGAACTGCCTTGTTTTTGACTTTTTAGTAAAAGCTGGAACCAATCTAAATAATGTTTTGAATAACCCGAAGATTTTTCTATCAGATGAGGTGCATTTTGTCCTTTCATGACAAAAGTTGATAATAGAGCTTCTGGAAAACCCGACCGCTGGAAAACCAAGTCCTTAGTTTTTAGTCAGAAAATTTTGCAAACTGTATAGCCTGATAGAGCGAAGAATTCTGAGCAAAATAAGATATCTCTCGGCGTTCTATAGCGCTTTTTCACCGGAATATTTTGGTAACTTTCACGCTCTTTATAGCTAGTGGTAAATCGACTGCAATTGCGTGAAAAAGCACTATGGAATGCCGGGAGATGTCTGTTTCGTCAAACTCATCCATCATTGGGCCATTTAAGCTGTCATAAGCCGATGACGTTCAATTTAACTGCCACTTTTGGTAGAAAACCGCAGTCTCCTCATCTATCTTTCAATTTCAGAGTGGCTAACTGCAAGGTCTATCGACTACAAATGAATACGTTATTAGCTCAATGAGATGGAACAATGTCACTGAGTACGCCGGATGATATAGAATCGTACGACACGTTCATTACAAACTGCAACAAAACCATCTGTTCCACCAGCTCGCAAACCGATTAAATTTAACCTGAGTAACTTGCCTGTCGCGTTAATTAAGGGAAAGCATCTTTACAGCCGATGGAAAAAATGGAATTTGGAAGCTGATAAAAAGCAATACTGCAAACAGAAGCTATTGGTTGAAAACGCGCTTAGGAATGAAAAACCTGTTGGGTTTAAGAAGCTAACGGAAGCACTAACGAAGCGGAAAATGAACTGAAGAAAAGTGTGAGTGACTGTTAAAAGGCACCACAACAAAAGGACAAAACAAAGTCATTCTGACTTTCTCACATATCAAAATCAGACCACATCTACAGATCGGAAGCAAGCACAGATGTTTCTGGTCTATTTCGAACAAGAAGTGTGCAGAGCGAAGCGGAATGACCTTCCATTCTATCGCCACACAACAAATACAATAAAAACAAAACTGAAGAATCTGAACAAAAAGTCACTTCGAGATGTGTCCGCGATCACAGCTAAAGAGGTAACGCCGTATCTAAAAAGCCTGAAAAACACATCTCCTTGTCCTAATAACGTTCACAACAGATGTTTGGTGAAGAAAAGTACGTTATACAACGTCTTACGACTACACAAATTCGCCAGAAAAAATTCGGAAAAGAAACATCACTCCGCAGTCATACTATTAAAGAACGGAACACCTCAAGGTTCGCCTTTATCATCTTTGTTGTATATTTTATTCACTCCCGATTCTATGAATGAAATATCTGATACTACAGAGCACGGTTTCTTCGCCTATGACGCCTCGATATGGGCGGTATATAACACAACGACAGGGTTAGACAAACGTTATATACCTCTTCGTTCTCCTTCTTCGCTATTCCCTATTATGTTAAAGTGTCGATAAATTAGCGAATATGTCACATATGGGAATTCATTTCACCACGTGACAGATTAGCTATCCACGATTTCATCATGAAAAGGAAGAGTTTGATTGTTGATACGCTATGAAACAGCTTTAATAGGAGTGAACACGCAGGCATTGAATCCATCTGCATCGCGTTCGCACGCAGAGCATTGCTTCTACGCATGGTAACGCTGGAATGGAGCTTTGCTTAAAACTTTCACGAATGAACACAAACAGAAAGTTTTTTGTCACGTGTGGTGACGATGCAAACAATTGAGCCTGCGCTTTCACGCTTCAATTAATTGCTTCACGCGCGTCAACGATCAATCATTTGTCCTTTTCGGTGTGAACACAAATAATAACTGACTTTCGCGAGTAATGGCATGAATTTATTTCATGTTCGCATGTAAAAGAAGTGTTCACGAGTTAAAATTTGAAAAAGTACTGATTTGCGCCATCAACAAAATTTTGTTACAATTGTGTTCACATAAAAAAAGATAGTCTCACACGTGTTTTCGTATGAAAAATTATCTTTCACACGTGTTCACACGTAGAATTCTCAAAAACAAGACTATTTTGCCGTGTAGGCACGTGGCAAAATATTTCAATCCGTGTCCGCATCATGGAGGATATCAAACTTTTCACATGAGTAAAAGACCTTGATGATCAACCAGTTCTAATTTTTCTTCAAGTCTTTAAATAAACTGTTCTCTCTTCATCCCTTTGAATATTTTCTCTAGAAATGATTTCCATTTCTGTTATATAATAAACAGGATGTTTTAATACTTATGAAATCTGACTGATCATAGAATAAAAAGTGGCATAAGGATATAGAGCAAAAACGATTAACATTAATACCTTTGCTGACAATACTAAATATAAAACATATTGCACATAACAATAGAGTCGTTAAACCCTTTTGAGTACAAAACATGTATAAATTGTTGTGAACAAGTTATCATTGTCAAGAACTATGCTAGTCTATTAAATATGGATTAATATATGACTGTCTTAATCGTGAATATAATCCAATATGATGTACAAGATTTGGTTCTAAAAGTAATGTCTTCAATGTATAATCATAATGTTCTGGTAGATTATCTAAAACGGTATCAATTGCATAACTCTCTTTACATTGTGTCTGATAGAGATAATCATGAACATACGAATAAGTTTGACGAAAATAAATTACACCTGGTATACAACAAGATGGAGCATCATAAATTGAATATAAACTGGGATGTAAACGACGCCATGGCCAAGATATATTTGAATGATTTAATAGAAATAAAACGGATATAATTAATAGAAAATAAAAGAGAAAATAATTTATATTTTCATTACTACATACAAAACGACATAATAATTTTAAATCTTTTTCATAAGCTAAAGCAAAATGAAATTTAGTAGAGAGTGCATCTGACGATTGGACACTTATAACGTCATCCTACTTTTTTACTCTATTCGTACACTTACCATTTGATTTTATCATTTGTGTATCGTCTACTATTGGTGTAGGATAATAGTGATAATGTAAAAAGGTGTAAACAATAAATGTTAAAAGTAGACTCATTGCTAATAATTGAACAATAATATAGACTGATGGATGTTTTGCATAATCAATTAACCATCTCGGATGATATATTTTAAGAAATGCCGGTTTCTCTTTCCATTGTTTAAATCGTTGATCAATTAAATAGAGTAGAGTATTTAAAAATATTTTGTCAATAGGTTTTGCATCATCTTGTAACAATAATACATAATCAGAAGATGTAAATGATTCAAAATTAGCTTTTAAACATTTTAAATGTGCCTGTTTTTCTCGTTCATATTCGTTTAATTCAATGTTTAATGAATGAGTATGTATTGCTTGAGCATTAACAATATACACAGGAACTAATTTTCGAATTAATTTTATTTCATCACCGATATGTTGTAGTTGTTCATCATTATAATGACTATTTTCACATATTGTTACAATTATTCGTGGATCATCGTATTGTTCTAATAGTGTTTTTAATACTTGACCGATGTAAAATTTTCCTTCTTGTCGATCATTACCTAAAACATGAAACATATAGAATTAGAGAACAAATTTCATATAATAAAATATCTTAGGCATATTTTCTACAATCTTCGATAGGAAATCAAGTCAAATTTATTTTTTGTGTTAAAGAAACATAGTTTTTCTATTTCTAGTTTATAACTGTCCATATTCTTCATTTCTTAATTCGTCATCGAACAGTTTTTTTCATTAAATATTAGAAGTTATTAATTTTCAGCTAATGATGATGAACTACTAAGACAAATTTGTTTCACTATTGCCGAACGAATACATAGTAGAAGAGACGTGTTCTCATGTCTCTTACCATTTGAACTATACAATATTGTTATTACGATCATATCTGACTGAGTAACTTTTGTTGTTGTCGTTTTATTATAATTTAATAGGTAGTAATCCGACGATGTTGAAACAGATGTATTTATATAATTATAAAATGTAGATTGATTATTTGTAAATAATTTATTTGTTGAAGATTGTTCATATAATTGTTGTAACCAATTGTATGCATCTGATTGTTCTTTTTTTTGTTTACTAATTAATTTTTGACGATAATTGATAATTGACGGTGTTTCAGGTTTCATATGTCTTAAATTATACAATACACCAAATTCAATATTATATGACACATAAGCCGTAATAATAATAGTAAATAAAAATGTATAGATATAAAAACGTTTTGACCAACGAAATAGAGTATAATGTAATTTTGAGTAAAAATTTAAATATGTTTGAATACGAAAACAGTTTCGAACTGATATTGTTCGAGAACGATGATGAAATTGTTGGTGAACCATAGAATCATATTCTATATAGTTATTTGTAATTGAATATTAAGAAAAAGTATTCTAGAATAAAAAAAGACAATCAAAATTAGTTAAATCAAAATAATAACATGTTATTTTGCGCGATTAGACCCCGATATACTAATGGGCATAGATTTTCAATATGTCTTTCAAGAAAACTCGCATTGTACAAACGTAAATTAGTATTTGTCAATAATGACTTCCAATTTCTTCTAGTTTTACTATAAATTTATCATTCTTCCGAATTATATACGAAAATAATCAAGAAAAAACTTAAAATATATTCTCAAATTTACAAGACTTGTAGTACATATAATCTAAACGACTGTGAAATAAGAACCCATCAACCCTAAATCTCTTCTACTTCATACTTTCACCATGGTTTGTAGCAATGAATTACCTTTTTCTGAAAAAAATCAATATTTTCATTTTAATTTCCGTCAGATGTTAGGCGTTGTACCTTCTAATATTATTTATTCATCTATTAATACAGGTATGACAAACCAGTTCGAAAAAAGAAAGTACTTACTCGTCATTTGCTTTATGTATTCTTATTGCGATTTAGCTTTTTTCGTCTTTTGAATGCATTATAATAAAACTAGAAATAATAATTAAGTTCACAATATTTAATGATAAAGAAAAAGATGAATATGTTGCATGTGGAACGCATTTTTTTCACGACGCTTCTTCATCTAACATATTATTTCTAGACATAGAAGAAACATATCTTGCAATATTATAATATGTATTCGTATTCCCACGCCCAAATGTGAAAGAAAAACTTTTTTTCTCTTTTCGTTCTTCTTTAACATATTATTGTATATCTATCTATGTAACCTTTCATTCATTATAGACGTTCACTGGACGCAATTTGAAGGAGAATTTGTTCTTACACTCGTCTTACAATAGTTAGTTTGACACTTTATGACAGATAAAATCCAAATTTTTTAAACAATTTATTGTAGCAATGTACCAAGTGACAGCAATCTACCTTATTACACATTTACAAATGCTGCAATAAACTCTTTTGTTTGCAATGTAAACAGACAAACGGTTAACTCTCAACAAAATGATCACAACCTCGAATCTGTATGAATGCTATATTATTCTAGTCTTACTTTTCAGTTTTTCTTTCAGCTGAGAAAGTCGTATACTTATAACGACTCACATAGAAATGCCACTTTATAATTTATCTTTTTTTTTCTTCGTGACAGAACAACAAAAATAACAGATGAGATCATATAATACTATGATTAACGCACTCGAGCGTATGAGAATGTTTTATGCGTGTCATATAGGATAGTTGAAATAATATAGTTGATATTCTGAGAAAAAATAAATTCATTTTCTATTTTTTAACATCCTTCTAATCATATAATTCTTCGTGTTCGTTACTTTTCCTATTTTATATGTCACTATAATTATAGATAGGAAAAAAACAAGAAGACATCGAACAAAAGAATATGACTAAAAGACTGATACATTGTTTCGTTCAGTTTATTATTAGCAAGAAATTTTTATAATAAACTGAAATGCTATGATTCTTTTTCGTAGTTTTCTGGTTACAGTTAATGCATTTCTCAATACGCACATTTTGAAGACATACGAAAAATATTTTTTTGAGACAAACCGTATCATTTACTGTGGAAGGGAAACAATAGCTCACATTTGGGCTATGGAACTTACTCAAATTGTTTAACACATCCATCAGAGTCGGAAAGTTGAAATTATGGAGTATTAGTCTTTTACAATATCTATAGTACAACGTTGCCATTACGTCATCGTACCGAAGTGCAGGTTTTTATCAAGTACTAATCATAATCTATTGGAACTCGTTTCTGGAAGACGAAGATATTTTTGTGCCCGGGAATTAAGACAGATTTGTGACCGCTTAAGATATTTTGCGCCCGGTCTGGGTACAAAAAAATCTTTTTACACTTTTGTGCCCGGAGAACGATATGTGCACGGATTTGACTAGGAGTTGCGTTGCCTGGTGTTTAGCTGTTCTACTTACATATTCTCTCTGTTCTTTGTATTTCTGCCGCCACCTCAGTAAATAAATGGTAATAATAAGCTGATTTTTAATTACGTCGACGACATCACTTCGAAGGATAAACATGTGGTTGTCACCGGTGCTAGTATAGTATAGGAGTCAAAATACAGTGCACTCTAGAACTTTCTGAATAACTTTTCAACAGAAAATGATTGAGACTTACGGTTTTTGGCATTCGAAAGAGAAGACTTAGGGCAATCTTTTCATCACAAAAGTTTTAAAAAATACCTGACTAATGCTTTTTGATTCAACTGCCATTTCGAAAAATTCCCGTTGTACTTTCAACTCAAATTATATAGTTAAATAGGCCAAAATGTCATCTATCGATCTGCATAAGTTCGAGGTCGGTAGCTTTCTCCGTTACGAAGAGGCTCAGCTTAGCTGGGACAGACCTATCTCCTTATCTCAACTCGGGGAACCTCGAAAATAACTGGAACATAGGTTAGCGACCATGTTGAATCTCGTGGCAACGTTTGTTTTTCGATATTCTCGCGTAGTTTGAAGAGATTTTGACTGAATTATGACTTTTCTAATTTTACGTAAAAGTAGGCAAAAATGGGTGATTTCACCTAATATAGGTTTTCACTAGATGTGTTTAACTTTCCCAAAAAACCATCGTGGTCACGAGATTCAACATGGTCGGTAACCTGTTTCCAGTTATTTCCGAGGTTCCGCGAATTAAAATAATGCGATAGGTCTGCCGTAGCAAAACTGAGTCGTCCCCGTAACGAAAAAAGCTACCGACCCTGGACTTCTGCAGATCGACAGAGGACATTTTAGCCTATCTAACCATATAATCTGAGTTGAAAGTGTAATGCGAATTTTTGAAATGGCAGTTGAATCTAAAACATTTGTCAGGTATTCAGTCATATATTCGACATCCCTCGGCAACTATTTTTAAAAATTGTGTAAGTAAAGAAAGCAGACGGACCGTTTTGAAATTCAAAAATAATGTTATTTTCATTTTCAGTATGCAGAAAATTTTTGTTGAAATAGGATCTGTGTAGCTTAACATGCTACCCGTAGTTTTAATCAGAGACACCGATTGCCGTCGATACTGTTAGCATGCTACGGTTGGTTTTAGTGCTATTTTTTTCAATTTTTGTCGTTCTTGGTCAGCTGTGATAGCTACAATGGCCGCTCCAATGCCACTTCCATCTGAACTGATGTGTAATTCGTAGTCCAATAGAACTGGTGCAAGTGTTTTCAAATGTCGTTGTATAATCATGTTGAAACGGGGATGATATCTATACAATGATCCATCAATTCCAATACACACTTTGTTACTACCTCGTAAACGCTTCATTAACACAGCAATTGCAGCTGCTGTTAACATAGCCGCTCTCCGTGATATTAGTCGACAGGTATAACTGATAATAGCACAATCAGCATCCGATGCTTGTGGTAATCCCAGTTTATTCATTACTGTTCTGGTATTAGCAAATGTTTTTCCCGTATCTAATTCAATTTCTGATATATGACTCGTTTGCAAATTATACAATACCCAAAATGGACTATATTGTCGATAAGATTCTTGATGACCACGTTGTGCTTTTAAAATAATACCGTGATTCATTAAAACAGCGAGCACTTCCGCTGCTAATCGACCCATATACATTCCGGCAATTAACTTTTCAAATATTTGTTTACCAGGATTATTCGACACTTTATCAACTTCACGATCAAATTCATTCACTACAAAATCTAAACAGCCACTGTCACCTAGTGCTCCCCACTCAGTGTTGATAATCATTTGTGTGGCTTCTAACGGTAATACTGTTGTATCAGTAATAGTTTGAATTTTTGATATATCTTCAAAGTAACATGCATTCGTACCCGTTCCTAGAAAATAAACAAACAACTGTTATTCATATGATCAATAATGAAACTTTAAACTTACCAAGAATAATTCCAACTTTGCACGATGGTACTTTATAGCCACATGCTATCAATGTCCCCACTGTATCGTTAATTAGTGCTGTTACTCTTACGTTTAGCTGTTTTTCATTCAAACATTCTTGTAATTTTTCTACGACATCATGATCAATCAAGTCTTGTAAACCCCATCCTTTGGTTGGGTAAAGAAAATTTGCTCGATTCAATGCCAATTGTTGACAAGGAAATGAAAACGTAAAACCGAGTATAAATTTTTTATTCAAATCTAATTTATTTCTTATCATAAATAATTTTAAAACATCTGATATAAAACGAAATAGTTCTTGAGAATTTTGTTTTTTCGAATCGGGTACAATATGTGCTTCGGATATAACAACTGGATCATGTTGAGGACGAATTTTAACGAGTAACGTACGAAAATTGGTACCACCCAAATCGAGAGCAAGAATATCACCTTCTTCTCGTTTTGTTGCTATTGTAGTTACATAGGTAGGGATCATTTTTAAATCAGATTTATGTTGTGTTGTAGGATCAAGACCCATTTTAATAGAATTTTCCATTACTTGCATAACATGAATGAGTGTCTCAACGTTAATGTGAAATGCTAAACAAAAAATAGAGAAAAGATATGATTTTAGCGTCGATTCGATAGATGAGAAGCTGTGTAAGTGTTCTTCATAGATCTATTGAATAAATAATCGATTCTTTGAAAAACTTCTGATCTTTATGTTTTATTTCGAATAATTTTTCAAATATAGGGTCAGACTAATAGGGCTTCTACTTACGACTTGTTATGTTCATTAATTCTTTATATTCATCATCTGGTATCAAATCTATTTTTGTGTGTAATATCGATGTAATATCTTCTTCTAGAGGATCATGTAATAGACCACCAAATGTATCATTACGATGAACTATTTCTTTACCAGCTTGACTTTTAAATTGTGGACTTATATTTAGCTTGCCATTGACATTGCTGAATAATGATAATGGCGGTCCAAAACATGGAAAACATGTTTGTAGCCAATTAGGCGCTTTACATTTTTCACTATATATGTCGCAACTTTGGTTTGATTTTGTTGATGATAAATTTGTATGTGACATACAAACAAAGAAAGAAGATGAAACTAAATAATCGTATTTATAAATAAAATTTTTCAATTGAATAATTTTCATACAACAACAAAGGTGAAACGCGCGTGCTCAAAAAAAGATATATTCAAAAACAAAGAAAAGAAAATATATTCTCGGAAACTCCAAATTGAATTATATACCAGATGTTTTTTCATCGTAGTTCCTTTAAAAATAGAAAAAATGGTGTAGATAATTAAAAATTTTGAATTGCATGTATTCAGTGGATTATACCGTTCTACTAGTAAATAGCTGTACCGTATTCAACGATGAGATCGTGCTCTGCATTTCAAAGGATGTGTCTCTTATTTCAAGCAATAATAAAAAGTCTTTGAACAGAAAATGTAGAAAAAGATGATTTTCTATATATGTCCTGTTATATTCTATATATACAAAATAACAACATCTTCTGTAGTCTATTGTTCATTGTTCACGTATATTTTTATTTTTATTCTGTAGATTTTGGACACACGAGCATGAGTGAAATGAAAATTAGCTATTTTAAATATTAATTTTGCGATCCACGCTGTTGACTGTGTACAAATGCGTTATTTTTAACTTATATAAGGCTTTAAATTAATTTTCAAGCGCTCAAACTCGCTTATACAAAAAAAATATGAAAACTACGTTCAAACTTGTTAATAAAGAAAATTTTTAAACTCCAGCGCATTAAGTAAGCCGCTCAACGTGTTAAATATTTTATATTCGGTGATTAGGGATGTAATCGGTATCAAAAATGCGATACTAGTACCGGTACCGGCTTGTCTTGATCATATTTTCTCTCCAAGTGTAGTTCCAATTGAAGTTTAGACTGATCGATATTTAAAACAAGATCGGTTGTGTATTTTAAAACGATTTGTAGAACGTGGACCATAAAGTCAGTAGTTGATTGAGTTATAACATCCTTGTTTTTAATTTCACATCTTGTAACCATCATAGTTTTGTTACTACCTATGAACATATGTCATGCGAATGTATGAAGTCGAAAAGCCATTTGTCATTGGCAACAAAACTCTCAAATATGGCTTTTTTCAACGTCCATCGATTAAGGACAATATCATGCACTACAATAATTATTCTCTACGGCTTGTCCAGCTAACGGTATCCTTTTTTCGCTTTTTTCAAAAGATTATTGCAGTAAAGCTACAAACTAATCTAAAATTGCAACTACATAATTAAGTACATTAAACATTTCTCTACAAAATGAAAAGTGTCTTGGCTCTGAATGTTGATTAGTTATGAAAATACAGCTGTCGTACAAACAGCCCCAAAAATCGATTTTGGAGCCATCTAAAAAACGCGTCTAAAAAACTGAAGACGAGCAGGCGAAAATTCAACAAGTATACCAGTTTGTAGAAAATTGTTTGCTCTACAAGATGTGATACCTTTTCAAGTTCTAAACTATTCTAATTAATCTGTATTAAACAAAGAAAAGTCAGAAAAACCGTCACGGTGTGACAGAAAAAGGTCAAAAGTGGCACACCGTGACGATTTTTCTGATTTTTCTTTGATTAATACAGATTCAGTGTTCACACGAATTATGATAAGTAATATTTTCGTCTGGAATTCATGCGATTTCTTACGAGGGAACCCCACGAAGTGATCAAACGCTTTTTGCTCGGAATCTAGTGGGTTATAGGTTATCGACCATGCTGATTACGAATACGATCACGTGGCTTCCGCATAGCCCTTCGAAGACCTGGTTTTCTAGAAAACGAGTTTTTCAGAAACCCCCAAAAATAACCCGAACCGTTCTTAATGAGGCATGATTGTAGCCCGCACATTTC